AGGAAGGAAGGAAGGAAGGAAGAGGCCAGGCGGAGAGGGGGTCAGCTGAAGCAAGCATCCTTAAATACTTACCTAACCTGAATTTCTTTTGCACTCCAGGAGGACTTCATTAGTTCTTTCTTCCTGTTCCCCTTCTGCTCCCCAGGGAATGACTCCCAGGTGCTGATCACCAAGAAGTGCGCTGAACGCTGTCCCTCCGAAAAGGAGTATCCAAACAGGGCGCTCAATTCTCTCTTTTGCTGTGAAAACTGCTGGTGCAATTTGTGGCCTCCTAAGTGAAGTGGCTACGGGCAAAGACGGAAGGCTTTCTCCTTGAAAGCAGTGGCTTTCTCGGCTGTTCCGGCCTGGGAAGAACATGCCTGGCTTGGCCCGAGCCTACAGGACTCCTCTGCCATTTAAACCTTGGGTTTTAACCCAGGATTCACTTCGACTCAACCATAGAGGTCTCTGAATTTCCTTTACTTTTCTGTACCGCCGCAAAGCTGTCCGTGATGGGGGGCACTTTGAATGGCCTGATTCTCCCTTCTCTATGTCCTACTTTGTCTTACACTAGCATGAGATTTTCACAGTTTCCAGGGATACGCATGCATGCAGAAACCATGAAAGTAAAGTCACTTTTCTAAAGACTGCGAGTCCCATCATCTCTGACTATTGGCCATGCTGGAAGGGGCTGATAGGGTGGCAGTCTCAGAAACATGTGAAGAGCTACGGTCTGCCTTCTCATACCTTAGAACTGAGGTCTCCAAACTTTTAACCCTGAGGGCCGCACCGAATATCCAAACCTTTTACCCTGAGGGCCACACCGAATACTTTCGAGATCTTATAAGGCTGAAGGAACACAAACATGTGTGTGTGTGTGCATATGTGTGCGGTGATACACATGCAAGCATGCACCTCTGCATGTGCAGATGCATGCAAGGACGGTCAAGTCCAGCCCTTGTCAACGAGGCACGGTGGAGTGTCAAACTCCCCACCTCTGGCTTCGCAGCCAGAGAATGTGTGCGGTGATACACATGCAAGCATGCATCCCTGCATGTGCAGATGCATGCATGGATTGTCAAGTCCAGCCCTTGTCACGAAGGCTCAGTGGGGTATCAAGCTCCCCACCTCTGGCTTCGCAGCCAGAGACCCTAAACCACTGAGCTAGCCTGCCTTTCTGGATGCTTACAAATCCGTCCAACACACCTGACTTGGACTATCAGCATTCATTCATAAGATGGCAGCAACAGCATCAAACAAAGGTGAAATATTGAGTGTACCATCGGGGGGTGTTTAAAAGGAAGACGATCAGAGTAGCTGGAGACCAACTGCAATGGAAGCAGACGGCCGGGGCTTCCCTTAACTGCCTACTGTCTTCCTCTGCTGGAATTTGCCCCCTGGGGCAGTTGCAAATAGGTGGTCCTACATGGGGGACCCAACCAACCTGGGGCAGGCTCTAAAGCAGGCTTTGGCCAGTTTGGTGGACCTATTATTTCATTGATTGATTGATTGATTGATTGATTGATTGATTGATTGATTGATTGATTGATTTGATTTGATTTGATTTGATTTGATTTGATTTATATCCTGCCCATCTGGTATATTCTACCACTCTGGGCGGCTAGGGTTCTATTAGGATAAAGGATGAAGGGATACCCAGTGTGGTGCAATGGATAGAGTGACGGACTAGGACTCTGGAGACCAGGGTTCGAATCCCCGCTTGGCCATGGGAACTCACTGGAGGAGGGGAATTGATAAAGCCACTCTTTAAATATCTCATTTAGCTTGAAAGCCCTGTTGGGGTTGCTATAAGTCAATTCTCACTTAATGGCAGATAAGAACAACGCTAGGAAGAGGATAAATGATTCGCCAATGTATGGCAGGAATTCGGGTCAGGGGTTAACAAATATCACTGAAGACCAAGAAGGGAGAAGTTAAGTGACAAATCTTTATTCATAAGGAATCCAACACGTTGACAGAGACCAGGAACATTTGGGTGGGTGTAAGATGAGCCCAGCTGGAGGAGACCGAAGGCCTGCTGAGTCCTGCTCGCTTGCCAACGACAGCCTCTATTTGTTACAAAAGGAAAAAGTGCAACACTTAGAAGTAACCGTTGCTACACCGGTGTCCACTTCCCGTTCAGTGCAATTCGGAGAACACCCCTTGGTGAACTGGCGTTCAGCGTTCTCCCCTAGAGGTGGAAAAAAATGAAACAGAAGAATTAGATCACAGTTAGGTCCTACCACCGGATGTTGGGTTCATTCTTCTGCATCCAAGGGATGGCTGACCCTACCACTGCACCTTTATTTATTTATTTATTTATTTATTTATTTATTTATTTATTTATTTACTCATTCATTCATTCATTCATTCATTCATTCATTCATTCATTCATTCATTCATTCATTTATACCCTGCCTATCTGTCTTTCTGCATCCTTTCTCTCCTCCTCCGGCCGCAGAGCCAGAGAAACCTATCATTTAGCGAAGAAGGAGTCAAGAGGAGGCGTGATATGCCATTTGGCATGATCCTCATGTCCAGATGGTATATTGAGCTCAAGCAACCCTCCGGCTCCATCTGCTGTCAATTTAACACTTTCCTGTCCCCTCTGAAAAGGGAAAGAGGGAGTCAAATTATTCTTTTTGCCTCTACCAGACCATTGCTGATGCACTAAATCACTTCAATTAAATTTTTGCAAAAGCAAAAAATGCTTTGCCTTGGGTGTTGTGCCAATCGAGAAACTGACCACAGCTGCAGTTTCAATTGGCAAATTTGATCTAAGTAATTCAGCATATCCACAATGGACTAGCAGAAGCAAAAAGAATAATCTCAGTTTCCCTGCCTCTTTGCAGAGTTGCAATGCCCGTCAGCCAATAACAAAACCAGGTTTGGGGGCTTACAGAAGCCTAATGGCATTTCACCTTGTCCTTGAGAACTGTCAGATCCGAGAGAACATAAGAAGAATGTGTGATACCTTTCCCTACCGTGATGATGGTTGAGACACAGAATTTGTCTGTTTCTGCACACTTCACCGATTCTATAGAGTTGGAGTTGGAAGACTGATCTTCACATTTGTAGCACTGAAGGGAAAGCACTGCATGCACACATACGAAGACAGAGAACAGACAGATCATCTCTCCCCCTTATCACAACAATACACCCACAACAACAAAAACACTGATCACCATAATCACCCAATGTCCTGAAAAGGACAACAGCTGATCCCACAGCTATAAATACTCAACAAACAGCAACAAAGCACAGACAGAATTCTGACTCATGTCCTCTGAAGATGCCGGCCACAGAGACTGGTGAAACGTTAGAAAGAAAAACCTTAAGAACACGGCCAAACAGCCCGGAAAACCCACAACAACCAACAGAGAACAAGAGTTTTCTGTGTTCAGTCATCTTTCCTGGAATACTATTCTGAAATGTATTTTATATACAGTGGCGCCCCGCTTAATGACAACCCCGCTTGATGATGAGTTTTTTGTGATCGCTATAGCGATCGCAAAATGATGGTTCCTAAGGGGTTTTTTTTCGCTTTACATCGATTAGGTGCCTGCTTCGCGAAACATTTGTTCACAAAACGATTTTTTACTGGCTCCGCAAAATGGCTTCCCTTCGCAAAATGGCTGTTTTCCAGACAGAAGCTTTGGAAGACAGCGATTTTAAACAACTGAGCGGTGCTTCTCTATGGGCAATCTTCACTGGACTATGAGGTACAGTGGGGTCTTGACTTCAGAACGGCTCGAGTTAAGAACATTTTGACTTAAGAACCACTCTCATAGGAAAATATTGACTTGACTTACATACTTAGATTTGAGTTAAGAACTGAAAAAACCCACGTGGGAGGCAGGGAAAGTGCAAAATTTGAACTTTCAGTTAACTGTTGGCCAGTGAAAAGGGTGCCTGTCTGCTTCCTCACTCCTCCCAGCGTTTAGAGAGTGGATTGGGAGACAGTCTTC